AGGTCTCCTCCAACCTTGGTGATTCTATGATTCTAAGTAAATTGTTTATCCCTATTATCAGCAAAAATTTGACACTGATTTTTCTTTTGACTTTCTTTTTCCTTTACCATTTTGTAGTAGACTTTGTAACGGTCAGATCTTAACTTCCAGACCATCTCTCATTACAGCCATTGGCATGTGGCAAGTAGTTGTTGATCATGTGTGTCTGATTTACTTCCAAGACAAAACTGGCTCTCTTTGCTGACACCACAATGGTAGGCCCAAATATCCAGAAGCAAAGCTTTATTTGAAGGTGTTTTTCCTCCATGGCTTTTGGCCTGAGCCTCCTTTCTGTCCCGTTTTTAAGGAAAGCTGAAGTCTATCCACTGATCTCAGTGGATGGCTCAGAGACTTTGCAGTTCCTTGGTCTCTGTTGTTTTCCAGACCTCGAGCAGTGGAAGACACTCCGTCCGGATCACAGGGCTCAGCACCATTGACTTCCGCGCTGGGTTCTCCAGGAAGCCAACGCTGGACTTCAAAAAAACATCCAGCAGACCTGTGCAAGGTTTGTCCCCGTGCTGGCCCAAGCCAAGGACATTCTGGGTCCCACAAATCGAGCAGAACTCTGTGATAGCTTTGTGCTAACTCTGGGGTACTGTTGGTTGGTTCTTGGGGATCTTTGTGAGAGCAGCCAACATTCCTGTTTTATCATATCGTATTATTTTATTGCACTGACTTGTTGGGTTTTTTGAATCCAGATATTTTTAGCTGTGAAATGCCTCCAAGTTGCAGCACTGTTTGTGTTCCTTCTGGGGCTGCAGAAAAAGCCTGTGTTGCCTGGAGCATGGTGAGGGGTTGATAAAGCAGCTGTTATTTCAGGAACACCTGTTGGAAATTGGGCAGTTAAGCCTAACCCAGCTGTGTCTCCTGACAGCTAATGAGCACAGCTTCATCTAATTTAGCCTTTGCCTACTTAGTGTGGGCAGGGGCTGGGGCTGAATGCTGCATTCATGGGGAGGTGAGCCAGACAGATGGACTTTAACCTTCCATGTTTTCATTATTTACTTTTTTTAGCACTTAAAATAGTGTGTTTCTGTTTTTCCAGGGATTCCTACCTTCGTGCTGCTGAATACCACGGGGATCCTGCTTCCTGCTAGGGTAGACCAACTGGAGCTTCTGAGTATTACAGGGGAACTTCTGAAGACCTTGCCTGTGAAATACTATCCCGACAGAAAACCCTATGGACTGTGGAATATTTCTCACTTCATTCCACCAGATGAAGCTTTTTTTGTTAAAATAACAGGCTATGACAAGGATGATTATCTCTTCCAGAGAGTTTCAAGTGTTTCATTTTCCAGCATTACTCCTGGTAAGAGATTTTTAACTTGAACTGAATATATATTTGTCATATCTGAATCAGTTAAAATCGATATCTCGTATGTTTTTATGACTTATGCAAGGACTTTCTGTGTTGTTTCCTTCCTAAGTTCTGTCTCCAGGTTGTGATGGACAAATTAATATTGTTATCTGCTAAATATAACTTGATCAGAAATTGAATTTCCTTGTAATAGAAGGTGCAGGGAGAGGATAGAGGGAATGGCCTTGAGCTGAGCCAGGGCAGAGTCAGATTGGGTGTGAGGAGAAATGTTTTGCCTGTTGTGGTGTTCAGCACTGGGATATTGCCCAGGGAGGTGGTGCAGTCACCATCCCTGGAGGTGTTTCAGAGGTGTCTGATGTGGCACTGAGGGATCTGGTTAGGGATTCCAGCAGTGACAGGTTAATGCTTGGATTTGATCTTGGAGGTCTCCTCCAACCTCCATGACTTTATGCAAAAGACAGGTGATATGTAGGTAGCTGTTAATATACTCTTTGGGGGATGTTTTTTTTTTCAGATGCTCCAAAAGTGACAATGCCCATCAAGACTCCAGGCTATTATTTGCAGCCAGGCTCTGTTCCTTGCCATGTGGAAAGCCTGATACCTTTTACTCAGCGTTTTACTAAAAATGGGGTAAAACTAGGAGTGGATCAGTTCTTCAAGTAAGTAGTGACCCTTTTTCCTTGATACTGTTTTATTTCCTTGTTATTTTTGCTTATATCCTATGACTTCTCTTCTGTTATTCCTGGTGCTATCCCTTAGGGAGGCTGTATTTTATGGAAATATTTATCACATTTAGATCTATATCTATATATGATACACAGGGGAGGGTTTACACTCTGTGCAGGTGATGGGATTATATGGTTCTGGCCAAAATCTCCCTCAAGTGTGGGACTGATAAACTGGCTCTAAAAGTCTAGAAGGTGAATGATTTTAATTTGTATTTTTAAAAGCTGTGCCAAATAGATTGGTAATTACTTCTGTTTGTGAAACACACCCCTCACTCTGCCCCACATTGAGATACAGATGAATGTGTAACACACATTAGTTTGTTTTATTTTTAATGCCTTTTGTGAGTGCACTAGAATTATGTCCAGTGACCAACCCTGGATAATTTTCCTCTTTTGAAATAGGAAAATTTATCCTGAAGGTACGTGAAAGCTCTTCAGGTTTCTGTGTAGAAAAAGGACTGCATACTCTTTATCTATAGAATGAGATGAGAATAATTGAAAATATCAGAAATTTGTTAAAATGCTCACTAATCCCTTGTGATTCTGGTTGTTGGAAACAGAAGGGAGGTGTGTGCTAGCAAACAGTGTCAGCAATGTCTTGTGAAGCACCTCAGGAGAAGACTGAAGAGTAAGTTCTAGCATTCCATAGCAGGTACAGGACTACCAGAACAAACACATTGTGCAGCTCCCTTGCCCACTGCTGGCAGTGTGAAATGCTGCAGCTTTGGTGTGGTTTTGTGTTTAATGAGGTGCCATCTACATGGAGTCAACCCCAGCACATACTTAAGCAGCCTGTAATGTTTTCCATTCCTCAGTTATCAAACCACACACTTCTCCTTGTTTTTCACACATCCAGCACCTCTCTGATTGGGCTGCATTCTTTGTTTTCCTGTCACAGAGCAGATGAATGAACAGACCCTCTAAGTTAATTTAACAAAATATATCTCAAGCCAAGTAGTGTTGATCTCACTGAAATAGGATCCAATTCAGCTTGGCCTGTCTGCATTTTGCTGGTAGTGAAGTCCTTCATAGCAACCTGACTACAGGAGTATCTTCCTGTTGCAGACTGACCAGATAAGCAGCTCAAACAGCAAATTGCATATGCAGTAGATGATGTGGGTAAATGATCCCTTAATGCTGAAAGGTGCTGAGTTATCCTGTAGCACATGTTGTGAGAGTTGTGTGCAGTTCCTGCTTGTTAGTGGAGCAAATGCCCCGAGGTGTGTGTTACTCATTGCTGCCTGTGTTGTTTTGAGTGTGTTTTAACAGACCCCCAGACATCTTTGTCTTGCCAAGCTGTTCCATTCTGGACACATTTCCCTTCTGTTCTCAAGGCTTCCGTGTTTGACATCAGATGTATAGCACAAGTCAGGAGGGAAGAGGAATAGGATTGCCTAACTTCACTTTTAACATGTTTTCCATGGAAAAGAGGAGTTTCTCACTTTTCATTTGGAAGAAGTGCTACCTTATTCTTTAGTGTTGGCAGTTGCTGCCATGTCCATTTGCCAGCATTGTGCTGTGAAATGTCACAGATTTGATGTATGATATATTAGGTTATCTGGAGTAAATCTGAAATAAGAGGGAAAAAGTAGGAAGGCATTTAAGGTCACCATACACTGTTTCCATGTGTGGTGGAGTTGGATTGTCTGCCTCATAGTGCTGCAGCATTGAACTTCCACACACATTCCAAGTCTCTTGTTCCTTCTGTGTCCTTTAAGGGCTGATAAATCAATCTATTCACACAAACAAAGGGGTCACTGATTTAGTGTTTTCCTGTAACGTGGCAATGACTTGCCAAAACTGTTGTGGATATTTTGGTGCTTATCAGTTTTGTTTATGTGCCATGGCAACAAGTGATGAGGAGCACTGGGACACTGCAGAACCACTGGTTTGCTCATCTATGTCATCATCTGGTCTGAAGTTGTGTCAGGGGAGGGTTAGGTTGGAGATCAGGACAAGGTTCTTCCCCCAGAGGTGTTTGGGCACTGAACAGCTCCCAGGGCAGTGTCACAGCCCCAAGGCTGACAGAGCTCCAGGAGTGTTTGGCCAATGCTCTCAGCACAGGGTGTGATTGCTGGGACCAGGAGTTGGACTCGATGATCCTTGTGGGTCCTTCCAATTCCAAATATTCCTTGATTTCTTTAAATGAAATCCATACAGTTAGATCCACTCCGGTTCATCAGAGTCTGTTTTTCCTGATGATTATGAAAATCTCCTGTCTCTATAGTGGGAAAACCAAGCTAGTGTGCCCCTTGTTCCTCCAGGGATTTAGTGACTATGCCCTTTTCTTCCTCCAGAGAGTCATCCAGTATGAGCTGGGAGATTGCCCAGGTCTCCTTGGCTGACGAAGGCTTTTATGAGTGCATGGCGAGCAGCAGCGCCGGGACGGGGCGAGCACAGACCTTTCTGGATGTCTCAGGTGGGTACCAGGACATCATTCTGAGGGATTCAAAGTGAATAACAAGGGTGAAGTAAGTCAAATTCAATGAGGAACAATTTGGCCTCATTGATGTGGCACTTCACAATATGGTTCAGTGGCCATGGTGGTGTTAGGTCAAAGGTTGGACTTGATCTTGGAGCCGTTTTCCAACCATAATAATTCTAAAATTCAGCCTAATCACAAAGATAATTATGAGTCAACAGTGGTATCTAGTTGCTAAAAGGTTAGGAATCATGGTGTATCTTCCTTACAGGAGTTAATGACCTGCTCAGACTTCAGACACTAAATGATTGTACCCCATTGATTAGTACCGAATAAAGTTAGTCCTTTTACTCTGTCAGAGCAATTTAGCTTAAGCAGCTACAAACCAAGATGCTACCCAAGCACAGATGGAGGAAACACAAACCCAGGATGGTGATGAGCTGTGTCAGCAGGCAGGAGAAGTCTTCTGCAGGAAGGTGACTTGCAGGAAGGATTAGAAGAAAAGCTGATTTTATGCCTGTGGGTGGGTGGATGAAAACCCTGTCCCTTTTGTCACTGAATTTTTCACAGTTGCAATACAATCAGAGGCAAGGGGGTAATTTCTGGTTTGTAACAAAGTTCCATCCTATATAGAGCCTTGTGTTGGTGCTGATCAGACATGGGCCATACAGCAGTGTGAGCTGTTGCTCTGGAGTTGGGAAAACACTGGAGCTGAGTCAGTTCATTTCATGCAACATTGGGGATGGTAGAGCCCAGAACAACATTTTCCACTCAGGGTTTCATGTAATGGCTTGAAATCAAAGTAATCCTGTCTTTTATCTCCTGTAGTAGTTACTTCAGGTTAGGTAACCTGGATTATTCGTCAGAGAATCACAAAACAGTTCTAGAGGTAGAGACCTTTGGAAGTCACCTTGTCCAAGTCACAGCTTAAAGCAGAATTAACTTCCAAGCTTGATTGGTTTTTTCAGGAACTTGTCCAATCAAACTTTGAATGTCCCCAAGGATAGAGATTTCACAAGCTCCATGGGCAGCCTTCAGCACTTAACTACCCCCACTAGGAAAATATTTTGCATGTCTAGTCAGAATTTCCCCTGCTGCATGTTATGGCCACAGACTCTCATCTTTTCTTTTTTGTTTGTTTGTTTCAGTCTCCTGTGCCCTGAGAAGACTCTGTGTATTCCCTAAAACAACTCTCAGTAGTTGGAGAGTGTGGCTCTCTAACCCTTCACCTTCCCTTTTTCCAGGCAAAGATGTTCCTCTTACTGCAGTATGAGAGAAACCAAGGAAACCAGTGTGATGATTCCTGATTCCATGCAAGTTTGTAGTTAAACAGCCCTCTTGGACCAAGTGGGAGATTTGAGGAGAGGAGCATGGTTGTAGTCACACGAAGCAGAATAGAACAGGAGCATCAGTGCTTGTCCAAGTCCTACTCTAAAGCACCATTTTGTATTTTGGCTACAAAAATCATTCAAGTAGATAGGACATCCCCATGTGCCTCTTTCTGACCATGTTTTGGAGGATAAGAAATTGTGAGCATAAAGATTCTTAGTCTGGAAGTTAGAATCATAGAACCATCAAGGTTAGAAGAGATCTCTAAGATCATCAAGTCCAACCATTAACCTGTCACTGCTGGAATCCCTAAACTGTATCCTCCAGTGCCAGATCCAGATGCCTCTCAAACACCTCCAGGAATGGTGACTCCACCACCTCCCTGGGCAATATTCCAGTGCCTGAACACCCTAATAGGGAAGAAATTTTTCCTAACATCTCCTCTGACTCTCCCTGTCTCAGCTTGTGGCCATTCCCTGTATCCTCTCCCTGCAGCCGTGGCAGGAGAGACACCCCCCACAGCTCAACCATCCTCCTCCTCAAAGAGAAACCTGAGAGAGAATCACAGATGTTGGTAGCACTAGAAAGTCAAGAGTAAGGAGGGGAAAAATCCCCTGGTTTACAGAGCACTGAGGGAATGCCTGGGACTGACTCACTGTGTAAACATGAGCAATTTGTTCTGTTTGGAGCCCTGCAGAGGTTTAATGTGAGGGAGATGCTTTGAAATCCTTATGTACAAATATTTGCAAGAAAACTGGTTGAAATTTCTTCTTTAAGCACAGCAAACAATCTTTTCAAGTGTCCTTCGTTTGCCCAGCTGACAGCCTATCACAGGTAACCCATTTTGGCAACTGCTGTGTGAAAGGTATTGGAGCTGTGTCAACATTTTCTACTCTCAGAGAAAGCAAGCACTTGAGTTTGACTTCAAATCTTTCAGTTGTCAAATGGATCATTAGCTTGTGCAGGCACCTTAACTGAAGGGCCAGTAAAGGAGCACTGGGAGTTCAGCTGGGAGTTTGGCTGGGGTTGGCTGTGTGTGTGCACTGTGGTGCAAAGAGGCTGGTGTAGTCCAAAAGATGATGTGCCACACCAGTCTGACAGTCAGGAGATGGGGATTCTAGTCTGTCTGTGTTTATTACCTCCCTCTACAACTCCCTGACAGGAGGTTGGAGTCAGGTGGGGGTTGGTCTCTGCTCCCAGGCAACAGCAGCAGGACAAGAGGGCACAGACTCAAGCTCTGCCAGGGGAGGGTTAGGTTGGGGATTAGGCAGAGAGTTTTTCTGGAGAGAGTGCTCAGGCATTGGAATGTGCTGCCCAGGGAGGTGGTGGATTCCCCATCCCTGGAGGTTTTCAAGCTGAGACTGGATGTGGCACTTAGTGCCATGGGCTAGTGACCACGGGAGGGTTGGACTTGATGATCTTGGAGGTCTCTTCCAACCTGGTTGATTCTTTGAAGAAACCACAAATGCAGCAGAGCTTCCCCCATCTCTCCCTTACAGTTTGGTTGTTCATCCTGCTCTCTTTGTGCAGAGCCTCCTCCTGTGATTGAGGTTCCCAACAATGTCACAGTCGTGCCTGGGGAAGGAGCCATCCTGACCTGCCTGGCCCTGAGCTCGGTGCGCTACAACCTGACGTGGCAGCGGCAGGGGCGGGACGCCAGGGTGGGGGGGCCGGCTGCGGGTGAGGGTGATGAGTAACCTGTCTCTGGAGGTGAAGGCTGTCAGGCTGACAGATGCTGGAAGGTACGACTGCATCGCTGCTAACGAGGGTGGATCCACCACGGCCTCAGTCTTCCTCACCGTGCAAGGTAACGAGGAGCTGCGTGTCCGCCTTGCGCTCTCAGGGTTTGTATTGGAACAGGTTGCCCAGAGGAGCTGTGGCCCTGCTGGAGTAGGAAGGTTGAACCATTGTGGTCCCTTTTACCCTAATTGATTCTGGGATTCTGTGGTTCCTAGCTGCCTGTCTTGGGCTGAGAAGATGCAGAACTCCAAGTCTTTTAGAAGGAGAACTTTTGTGTCCACTTGTAGGTGATTCCAACAGGATTTCTGCTGGCAGATGCTTCTGGATCATGCTCCATGCAGAGTATTAATTAACTTTGCTGCTCTAAATCTAGTACTTTGTTAGCTGATGGAAAAGTAATGAAATGATGGTAAAAAAACCTGAAATTGAATGGAATTGCTTGACTTAAAGTGCTCCAAAACAGAGAAAGAGCAAAAGTGGAATTGTAACCCTTACTAATGGGATGTAATTTTTACAGGAAGAGCATATTGGTTACCAAGGTGCAGTAAGTAGGTGTGCAATCAATTGTCCTAGGACAAAACACAGCAGAATGAAGTGTTTCTTCATTGATCTGTTAGCTCTAGATGGATGCAGCAGAGTTAAAACTTAGAGAAATCTAAGTTAGTTAGAAACTAACTTGAATTTTTACCAAGGCTAAAAAAGAAAGCCATGCAAAAACCTCAACCCCATATGTTGGAAAACTTAGTTTTTAATCCTACAGGATTTTTCCTGTCAAGACTCTCATTCAAGCATGTCAAAGGCAGCAAGAGAAGAGCCCCTCTCCCTCGTTCATCTCTCCCTGGGATTCAGATTTCCCTCCCTGATGTCTGCAGGCCAGCTGTGAGCTCTAACACAATCACCAAATTGCTTCTGGCAGTTCTTTTTTTTTTTCTAGTAGAGCTAAAGAAGTTTTACTGCTACCACAGCAGAATATTGAATTTCAAGTCACTTATATATGTAGGAAGATTATATCAAATAGTTGGGAATTACATTTTGGCTGGTATGGGTGGTGCTAACAGCTTTCAAACATGTCTGAGATAACCCTCTTGGGCAGTTTGGGCTTAGCTGAGAGTCTGAGTTGTGTTTTCTTTGATTTCTGATGATAGATGCTTAGAACAGAATAAATATGCAGGAAGCACCGAGCTGCAGCTGAATTCAGCTTTGTGCAGCAGTGACTGCCTCTCTTTGCTTGGGAAAAATAATTACTGCCAACCTTTCCCATGCAGGAGCTGAGTGGTATCTGAAGGGTTTGCATGCACAGTTATTTGTCATCATTTTAATTTGCTTGGCCAAAATGATTTCCGTCAGATTTCCCGAGGTACTTAGTGTGTGATTGTCATGTACAACTCGTAGTGCTTGTTAGGGCCTAAAGCAGTTTGCAAAAGAGCAATTTCTGTTTGGCAGCAAAGAGTCCAGGGTGGCTAGATGTAAGAGCAAAAGCTTTATGGGCTTGTCATTAACATGCTGAAGAGGGAAATTTGAAGTCTTGTTAATTGATGGAGTTGGGTTTGGGCTTTGTGTAGTTGCAAGTAATTCATGATGTCAAATTAATTCATGTTGAAGGCCTTTATTATTGTTGGAACAGCTCCAGGTAGATCTCTGAATTTTGGATCATAAGAGAATAAACACTGCTTTCATCCCCATTTTCTTTCTGGGGTGAGAGTTAAGGCAGAGGACAAATGCTGGTGGCTCTAAAAATAACTCAGCATCTGCTTTCCATGCTGCAGTAAACCTGGGGTTTGAAAACTCTTGGTTTGATGCTGCTGTTCCTGAAAGGGAATATTCATCTCACTTTTGTGCCAGCAGCTGTGCAAATACAGACTGGAGGCTCCAGTGGGAGTTGACTTTGTCCCCCCAGTTCGATGTTCTGTGCTGAGGAGAACACACAATACCCAGTCACTAATTGTTCCACACTAGAATGGAGCACAGGTTGGTGAAGATCTCGTTTCAGACCTGTGCAGTGGAGATGTAGTGCTCTGAGTGGTCTGGGAGGTCATGGAATGAGTTAAATTCCAAGGAGTATTGATGCTTCTTTGGTGTTTAGTGCTCTGACTAACTCAAAGTATGTGCTCATGTTTGGGTGTTGTGCAATAGTGGAGAGAGATCTGCTGTTCTTCTTTATGCTTTTAATTTGATGTTTGAGCATTTGCAAATCACTTAATGACTTCCTATCTCACTTTCTACCAGTCCAAAGTCCCTTTGTAGCTCTCTTGGAGCCTCTTTAGGCACTGGAAAAAGCTCTGAGGTCTGTGCTGTGATCGTGGGCTCTGACCCACTGACCTTGGATTATTTTCTCTCTATGGACCTGCTTGAAAATGGGAGTAAGGTGGTTATTGTAAGCTGTAAGTGATGTTTTTAATCGCTGCTTTTAATTTATTTTGCTAGAGCCACCTAGGCTTGTCATTTCACCTAAGAATCAGACTTTCACGGAAGGCTCTGAAGTGTCCATCAGGTGTTCTGCAACAGGTTATCCCAAGCCAAGAGTTGTGTGGACACACAATGACATGTTCATCATTGGTTCAAACAGGTAGGGGTTGTAGCTTTCTCTCCTCTTATTTCCTATGTGGGAAAGAAGGTTGGAATAATGCCAAAATATTCAGACTACCTTTTCCACAGGAGCCTGTGAATTTTGGAAACTGCACTTCAAGCTTTGCTATTGTATCTAACTGCAGTTGGTTCATCTCTGAAGGAGAAATACTTTAGTTCTCTTCTTCAGAAGGTTTATTTAACAAGATCAATATAAATACTTCTCACAAAATGTAGTGCTGTTCTCTGCTAGATAAACAGCAATATTAGTACTTTATATACTTATATCATGAGAAAAAACCCAGAAATACCCATTTATAACCCAGCTGGTCGTGCTGCTGTGGCAGGTTGGAGTATGGATATAACCATTGCTCTTTTTGCTTGTTTTGCTTGGTCCCTGTGTGTCCCCAGGTATAGATTGGCCCCTGAAGGCACCTTAACCATAAGAAAGGCAATTCCCAAAGATGCAGGAATTTATGGCTGCTTGGCCAGTAACTCAGCTGGGACAGAGAAACAGACATCCACCCTCACCTACATCGGTAAGTGGAAGAAACAACGTAGAGACATGAAAAAAAGCAAGCTAAAACATCAGGAAGGAGCTGCTAACATTGGTGGCACTGTGCAGGACATACTGGTAGAAATTTCAGCAGAAGATGATGTTGAACAGCTCACACATGTCCCTTCTGTTTTCTCTTCAAACCTGTGTGGTATTGTTAGGTGATATTTGGGGCTCGGTGTTTCTTCTTGTGTTGTTTCCAAGGTTAAAAAAAACCCTAAAATTGGGTATTTCTGTGGGGTAGGTTCAGAAGCCTGAGTAGGTGTTGGGAAAAGGAATTGTGTTTCTGTATCTAAACACTCTGTTAATAGATTAATGGTAAAGTGCTGAAGTTTTTGATGACCAACATCAGTCTGAAGGAGAGAGTGACTCTTGATGCTTTTACATAGCGAAACTTTCCTGATTCTTTCCTTACACTCCCTGTACATTCTACATACGATTCAGGTGCTCTAGACCAGACTTAGCTTTTCTGTGTTTCCTAGTGTTTATCTGTCACCTTATATGACTTCTGAGCCTGTTTGACTCTTAATGCAAATATTCTTCCATGTAACAAGAGAAAATCAGAGTCTTTCATGGTTTATTTGCTTTGGACAAGGACCTCATTTTTTGTCTCTCTTTCCTTTTTAGAGGGCCCAACACTGACTGTAGTTCAGAGTGAAATTCTGGTTGGTCTTGGAGACACAACAGTTATGGAGTGTAAAACAACTGGCATCCCACCCCCTCAAGTGAAATGGTTTAAAGGTGTGCTCCTTACTCGGTGTTTGGTTTATTGACATGAGCAGCAACATTTAGGACAATCACTTGAGGTGACTTCATTTTTCTCAGGAGCTTTATGTTGTATTCAACCAGTGGTGGATCTGTGAAATTCTCTTAAGTCTAGAAGATATGGCACTGACCTTTAGGGCATAAATCCTTGCTCCTGTTTAGAGACAGTGAGTTAACATGCTGTAGTATAATTAATAATAAAAATAAAAAGCTGAGCCTCTTCCCTTCTTAAGTACAACCTAGGGATTTTATACATGCAATTTCTTTGTAGTGAGGTGGGATATTTGATATCAGAATTGCAGAAGTTTTTCTAGAGTTAAATGGGAGTCAGAATCTCATTGCTTGAGGGCTCTAGACTGAACATTTGCTCTCAGGATAAGCACCTGACTCCTGCACATGACTGTATAATCCACCTGCCTGTTGGTTTTCTGGAAAACCAGTAGTCTGGTTAGCCAACAGAGAGCTCATGCAGTTCAGTTTTCCATTGCTGAGGGAAGCACAAAACACCCTGTGGTCTTCCCTCAAAGGAAGCTTCTTCTGCCCTCGCTGCAGTGACTGGATGGTTGGCATTTAAGGCAGGAGTCTGTGCTCATCCCAGAGAGCACACGTGGGCCAGTTCTGAATGTTACACGTCAGTACTGTGGCTCCTGCTGGGTCTGGGAGGCAGCAGAGTTGTTTTCAGGGTCTGTGGAGCTCTTGGCTTGGCACAGAGCTGGCAGACAAGTGGCTGCCACATGTAGTCTCTGCTTTGGGAAGGAGAAATACAGCCTGGCACACTGTTCTACTGCTGATCTCTGCCCAAAGCTGCTTGGGTTTGTGTTTCCCTTGTGAAACCAATAAGCAAAAAGGAATGTATCCAATGTAGTAATGATTTTTTTCCCTCTCAGCTGAGTGGGAATCAGAGCATTCCCCTGCTGAGTGCTTGCAGCCATGCTGTGAACTATCTCAAACTTGGGCACTGCGTTGGTGAAAGAAAGGAGAAATACTGTTATACTTCAGTTGCCTTTTTGTATCTCGACTTAGGTGACTTAGAGTTGAGGGCATCAGCATTTCTCATTATTGATACTCATCGGGGCCTTCTGAAGATCCAGGAAACACAAGACCTGGATGCTGGTGACTATACCTGTGTGGCTGCCAACGATGCAGGGAGAGCTTCTGGCAAGATAACTCTAGATGTTGGCTGTAAGTAAATTGAAACTTGGATGGGAAACACTCCAATTTCAGTGTTTCGGTGACTGGTGCCTGGTTCTCTGAACCTGAATCACAAATACGTGTAGAGCTCTGTATGTGCTAGGAACATCTTTTTGCTAGTGTTGACTAAACTGTCCCATTTGGACTTCAGCTTAGTCAACTTCATCTTAGACTCTTGGTCTAGGGGTTCCAGCAGTGAGAGGTTAATGGTTGGACTTGATCTGAGATGTCTCCTCCAACCTTGATGGCTGTGTGATTCTATGAGCATGCAGGGCCATCTCATGGGAGTGGCTCTAGTCTCATTTTCTGGAGATGTTTAGCCCATTTCTGTCTCCCCAGTGCAGAGCATGCAAGGCTGCTCCTGTAAGGTGTTGCTAGAGTTGGGAATGTTAGAAGAATAATTACACATAACGAGGCATAAATTCAGGTCATCGGTGGTGCAAGAGAATGCGAATATTGTGTTGCAACCACAATTCACTTGCTGTGGTTTTTCTCCCCAGCTCCCCCAGTTTTCACACAGGAGCCCAGCGATGAGTCTGCAGATCTTGGCTCCAACCTCACCCTGCCATGCTACGTGCAGGGCTACCCAGAGCCCAAGGTCAAGTGGCGGCGGCTGAACGGAGCTTCTCTCTTCTCCAGGCCGTTCGCCGTCAGTTCCGTCACACAGCTCAGGACAGGAGCACTGTCTATTCACAGTAGGTGGATTGAACTGAAAAAAACCCAAGGTTGTAGAAGGCAATGTGACTGCATGGCTTAATTAAGGTGCTAACTTTGTAAAAAGACTGGATTTTTGTCAGTGATTGTTCCTGATCCTGACTTCATTGCCTGTGATGTGTAGTTAGCTCATTTTCCTGTGAGTTTGTGATATCAGTTGTGTTTGGTCATTGGCTTCACTTCTTTTCATGAAAATGATTGCATCTTGGTTAAAATCTGTGGCTTGTGGTCTCTGTTGCTACTGAGGAGCTGTGGGTTTTCATTGTTTTAGTGGGTGTGTTTTGTGAGAGACTTGGGGTTTTTTTTAATTTTTATTTTGAGAGAATTGGTCCTAAACTCACTGTTTTTGACAAGTCCTAAATTAGGTAACACCTAAAACTCTGCAAGTGGCTTTGTGATTTCAGCTCCTTGAAGCATTTCAGTCACCCTTATTATTGCTCACCTTAGTGATGTTATTCTGTTTTCTTGGTTAGCTTTCTGATTCCTTTCTGGCTGGGTGAAGCAGTTCCTCTCTACTGTATATGCAGTGCAGTAACTCAGACTGTTTTGTAGCTGCTGTTCACATGCATTAACATGTTGCAGGATGTAGTGAGCAATATTCCATAGTCTATAGGACAGTGTATATATGTGGAGATATATAACGCACTACCATGATATTTATCCATGAGTAGATAGTATGTTAAGGTACCTGAAATAGATAAAGTGAAGAAAAGTATCATATGTGTTTATCTAATTTTTATTTTCTTTCACTCAAGTGCTCATAAAATCATTGTTTCTGTACTTGGTGACAGATGGAGAGGAATGATCTGCCCAAAACTGAGTATTTGAAGGTGAAAGATGAAAGGGTATCCATGTCTCATTTCAGATGCTGCAGTCAGATCTCTGTTTTTCCTCTCCCCCTCTAGATTTGTGGGTCAGTGATGAAGGGACTTATGTCTGTGAAGCTGAGAACCAGTTTGGAAGGATTCAGTCCCGGCCGGCCACGGTCACAGTGACTGGCCTGGGTAAGAGTGGTGCTCTGGCTGCTGTGGCTGGAGGTGTTTGGGCAGCAGACAGGGTGCTGGGGGCCATGGACACACACTGACCTCTCTGTGGGATGCATTTACACATGTCATCCACACAGACAGAATCAGAAGGCATTTGCATGAAACACTGGCATTGATTTCAGTGGGTTTTGCATGTTAGAGCATCCTTTGCATACATGAATTGGAATTAGTTCTCCCTGCACTTATAACAGACCTTACACAGGATATATCCTGTCTTTTGCTTCTTATTCCTAAGTGCACTTATTAATGAGTGAAAAATCACCATAATGGTGAATTCTAATGGCTCCTGCCATTTAATTCATCCTTAAAAAAAACCCACCAAAAATGGTTTGTGTCAGTGTTGGTGTGACTGGGAAGGAATCTCTGTGATCCAAGAGATTTTTTCCAGAGAGAGTGCTCAGGCATTGGAATGTGCTGCCCAGGGAGGTGGTGGATTCCCCATCCCTGGAGGTTTCCAAGCTGAGACTGGATGTGGCACTTAGTCAGTATTTTGCATGAGTAAGGTAAAATGACACATCAGCTGGTGTCAGGAGAACACGAGTTCTCATGGAAACCCTTGGTTGGATCCCCTTGTGCTGGACAGCATCTTCCATTTGCTACCATTCCTTGGGCTAAGGATCACTCTGTGTATTTCTCACTCTGTGTATTTCTCCTGCTTCCTCTCTCTCCTGTGCTTCCTCACCCCTTCCTTTGTTTCTCTTTTTCGCTTGCCTTTAACTTCATACTAATTTAATGCAATACTTTACATGAAGGTATAAAAATTCCTAATGATTTCTTCTGATTTTCCCTTTTGTTCAAGTCACACCTTTGATTGGAGCAAGCCCAGCCACGGCCAATGTCATTGAGGGCCAGCAGCTCTCTCTGCCATGTGTTCTGCTCGCTGGGAATCCCATTCCAGACCGGAGATGGATTAAAAACCGTATGGTGGTGAGGCTGCTTTGTTGCTTCTGAGATTTATTGGCAGAGAGAAGCAGCAACTGACATTTCAAAGCAAGATAACAGCTTGGTTTAATTTGCAAAAGTTAATATGATCCCTGCCCATGCCAGAGAATTTCTGACCCTGAAGCACAGATGAGGGAATAGGAGATGGTAGTGGGGGATGTGAAGGTCTAGAAAAGAACTTGGAACCAATGGTTTTGTGAATTGTCCTTTTATCTTCTACTTTACTTACTTTTCAATCAGTTTCATACGTTTTTGTAGCTTATGAATTTCATCCTTGGGCTCTGAGTGTGGGAGTGCTGGTGGAACATACCTATCAGAATGAGAAAAGTGCTGGAATTTAAACCCTGCTAACTGAAAAGCTTTGATTTGTGTGTTTATTAAAAATCAAGATACCAGGTGATTCCAGCCCAACCATTTTGGAGGTTCTAGGAAGGTGGAGTGAACACTGTGCCTGAGTTAGTTGTCTGAAGGAAGTTTCATTCCTTTAATAGTGAAATTACTGACTTTACATCCCTGTGAAGCTGCTTTTTTTATCTTGATTGCTAATTTCTCCCTAAAGCCCTTTCTCCACAGCTGCAATTAAAAAATAACAGCAAAATGTTTGATTTATTGTCCCCAAGCAGGACCTGCCACTACCTGACTCTGACTAGAGTTTTCTGCTCAGTTTTGGTGTCACAGGGAGTCACTGGCTGTTCCTTTTGTGACCAAACTGAATTTCTGGAATCACCAATAAAAATGCAGTGAAAAAAATCTGCTAAGTTTGGGTTTGCTGCATTAAAAGCATGAGTGGCAGCACTGAGTGTGCTGTGGCAAAACAGAGTTGCTGCTGCAGATCTTAATCTCACTCCAGCAGTAAGTACAAGGTGCAAACCAAAAGCCTTCATTCAAATTAGTTTTTCATGAAAGATGGAAAGTAAGAAAAGCTCTACGCAGGTTCTCAAGGAGCACAGAGTTTTTGAGAATGTGAAATAACCAGGTAAAGCCACTCTGCATCCCACAGGTAAATCATATCAGCTAATATTTTTGACAAAAAGCCACTCTGCATCCCACAGGTAAATGGTATCAGCTAGTTTTTTTGGCAGTAAAGTGTTGCCTCACTCTTTTGGCAGCTGGTTCCCAATCCCTATGTCAGTGTCCGTGGTGATGGGAGCCTGCACCTGGAAAGGGTTCGGCTGCAGGATGGAGGGGATTACACCTGCATGGCCACCAATGTGGCTGGGACCAGCAACAGAACCACCACTGTGAATGTCTATGGTAAGGAACAGCCCTGGGGCTTTTGTGCTAACTGCTGGGCAAAGTGTGTTACTTCCTGGCAGCAGCTTTCCCTGCTTTGTTGTGCTGGTTTCTCAAACTGTGGCAATGACAGTGCTTTGTGGAGTAACCTGGTGGGAACTGGAGCCGCTGCACAGGGAAGAACTGAGCAGCTGGGGCTGGTTTTTGAGAACAAATAACATTTTATGGAGTCACAGAATAATCAGGGGTGGAAAGGACCCTTGAAGATCACTGAGTCAACTCCAGGTCCTGCACAGGACACCCCAACAATCCTACCATGTGTCTGAGTGTGTCCATGTGCTCCTTGAGCTCTGTCAGCCTTGAGGCTGTGACACTGCCCTGGGAGCTGTTCAGTGCCCAAACACCTCTGGGGGAAGAACCTTTGACTGATATCCAACCTAACCCTCCCCTGACACAGCTCCAGCCATTCCCTGGGTCCTGTCCCTGGTCTCAGAGAGCAGAGCTCAGAGCTGTCCCTGCACTGCCCCTCGGGAGGGAGTTGTATCCAGTGATGAGCTCTGTCCTCAGTCTCCTCTTCTCCAGCCTGAACACACCAAGTGCCTCAGCCACTCCTCACGTGGCTTCCCCTCCAGGCCCTTCCCCATCTTCATTGCCTCTTTGGATGCTCTCTAATAGCTTAATATCTCATGTCATGGTGCCCCAAACTGCACAGAGTACTCCAGGTGAGCCCATACCAGCACAGAGTAGAGCTTCTTAGTGACAACACAGTACAATTGCTCAGCACCTCCTAAGCTATGCCAGACACAGATCCACCACCCTCCTGGGTAACCCCCTCGTTTATCTACTGGGCATGATGTTCTATGGTGTGGGATATCCCTTTTGCCAGTTCAGGTCACCTGTCCTGGCCATGCTTCCTCCCAGGTCCTTTTAGGTATCTTCTCACTGACAGAGTGTGAGATACAAAAGAAAAAAGGGAAAAAGAAAGGTCCTTGACTTAGGCTAAGCACAACTTAGCAAGAATCCAAAACATCAGTATGTTATCAATGTTATTCTCACTCTGAATCCAAACACAGCTCTGTACCAGCTACTGGGAAGGAATTAACTCTATCCCAGCACAGTCCAGGACACAGGTGCAAATGGGACTATACTGGAATCCCCTGAAAAATTCTGAGTGCTTCATAACTGATGTAAGGAAGCACAGCTCGTAGGAGAATTAGAGTGAAAATGAGTTATGAGTTTGGCAAAACTCATGATTTGTTTACTGGTTTTGGTGTTGTCCCCATTCTCCTCCCCCTTGTTTTTTCCCTTTCATTAAGCAGTGAAAGGATGACACTGACAGCAGTGTTAGCACTGTGGTAGCCCATCTGTGTTTCAGCTGAAGATATTTGTATTGGCTCTGTGGGCCACAGTCACTTCATGGTTTACAGCCTGAAATTTTCTCACATGCTAAATTAATCATGGGAGATTTATTTTCAGCTTCAGTGAGGATGCTGGAACATGCCTTTATTTTAAGAACAGCTATAAATTTTTCATACAGGCAAGGACTCTCAAGGTCTTCCATGTCAACACTAGTTTGAATATCTCAGAAATTGAGGAAAAAAAAGGAGTATCTTTGTATGAGTTTAGAAATAACTAGGGTTTGGTGTTATAGCCTTAAATCTGATTTTGCTTTTCTGTTCTCAGTTCAAAAGCAGCACAGTTGAGTCAGGGAACTGTTGTCTCTTGTTACTGGTTTTGAGAAGTGAAGCCTAAAATGTTGTCAGAGGATGATGTGACCAAACCTCTCTGAAATAGTTGCATCAATTAAATTTAAAACTGCACATACCTAATGAATGCAGTGATCAGTCTGTGGCTTCCATGTTTTGCAGCAAGCAGGGATATGTTCTGTCCTGAAGGGCTGGAGAGTGGAGGGGAAAGTGGCTGCTCGTGGTAGGGTTGGGAAGAGGCAGAAAAGCCCCAAACTCCCTGTAGGGATTGATATTGATATAAGGGTTTTGTTGTAAGACTTGTGCCAAGACTTGAGAGGTCTTCTGCACGTGTTTAATATTTGCATTTGTTTTCAGTTCTGCCTGTCATTCAGCATGGACAGCAGATATTCAGCACCATTGAAGGGATCCCAGTAACACTGCCCTGCAAAGCTAGTGGAGTTCCCAAGCCAACCATTGTCTGGTCCAAGGTAATTCCTCACCTTTGAGCTGCTTGTGGTGAAAGATGAAGTGAGCACAGCGTTTAGTTGCCATAAGAGCTGTATGCAAGGCCAAAAGCATCACTTGAGAGGGACCTGAAAAATCTGTTTGTTCAGAGCTGCTTTTGTTTCTCAGAGCAGAGGGTTTGGCCATGGTCCTGCCATAGCTCAGTGTTCTGTTCTTGGGAAGGGGTTTGGTTATCGCTGGATCTGTGTGTTCTTAACACTATAGAATTTGTTCATGTGGCTGTTGTGGGTTGATAATTTGAGATTGGGCAGTCTGCCACGAATTGAGAGTTCAGTTCTTCCTCTTTTGGAGCTTTAAGATAACTATTTCCTCTGGGGAAAGTGTGTCTAATAATGGCATTGTGGGGTCAACCTGTTCCTTTTCAGTCATGGCCTTGACAAGGTGTCCACTGAGGAGGACCTCAGATTTTTGGGGAACTTTTCTATAAGTCAGGATTTGTTGGGGTTTTTTTTACCCTACTTGAGCAGAGTAATGTCTTGGGAGTAAGAGTTATTTGGGGTGTGTGACAGCTCCCAGCCCATTCTGCAGAGGCACTGTTGGGCCTCAAAGTTGTGCAGATAGAACTGACTGGGACCTTGTGGACAGCTTTGTTTTGAGGAAGGAATAGCACAGAGTCAACTGTTGGTTTGGTTGGGAAAAGAACATGGGAGGAGTATTTTCAATACAGACAAGGAGGAGTCTGCTGGTTAAGAAGCAGTCTATGTAATGTATGCAAGATTCATTTTGACATGTGAGATCAATGTCAAAATTAACTCAGTTGAGATTTTGATTTGTTTGGTTTTTTTGTTGTGGTTTGTTTTAAGAACTTGGCTTTGTAAAATGTAGCAAGGTTTCTGCTAAGAATCCCTGTGCTTCTGCTCTTGTTGCTGCTTGGAAAGCAACACTCAAGCACTGTGACAAGTTAGCTGAAGTTAACTAATTTTACAAATTAAATTTTGGGGCCAAACTTCTTAGTTAATATAAAATATTTTGCTCATCTCAGCCACAAAAAAATAAATAGAAGCAGCTTTTGTTGAATTACGTGATCGTAATTTGGTTCATTTTAGAAAATCCAGGCACTGTGGACTTTTCTTCTTCTTTCCACAGAAAGGAGAAGTCATTCTTGCCAGCAATGTGAAGTTCTCTGCAGGGTCAGATGGAAGCCTGTATGTGGTTTCCCCAGGGGGTGAAGAGACTGGGGAATATGCATGTACTGCAACCAACGCTGCTGGCTACGCCACCCGCAAAGTCCAGCTGACTGTCTACGGTACGTGGAGTTGAACTAGACAGACTCACAGTGCAAATGGGGCTTAAACTCTGCTCTGATTAGTGCTGTGACTCTGGGTCCCCAAAGCAGGCACTGAAAGGCCTGTCCTTCAGCCACTCTGCTTCTCCTAGAACCTCCTGGTGCCTCTCACCTTGAGTTCCTGGACTAGGATCTTGGGCTGGTCATAGCCTCACCTTTATTGGAAGTGGGGAGGAAGTGTCTGTATAGGAATAGAGTTTCCTCTGATAGAAGAATGAAGATCATTAATCCCACCAGTCCCAGAGCTTCCTGCCATCTCCTAAGGCTCTGAAAACTTTGGTGTAGGTGTGCTTTGCAAGGCTTTTCTGGCTTGTAGGTATTGGTCCTCTAAGTGTAACAGTTCAGGCAGTGGTTGTAAACTACCTGTGCAATACAGAGCTCAGCACATGCAGGAGCTACATCTGTCTGTTCTGTCCAGGGCTTTTGGGTGGATACTCCAGTCTTTTTGGGATTTGTGGTGTTGCATGTAGGTATCAGCCTGTGTCTGAGCTCCAGGCACTGTGCCTCAGCACTGCAGTGATTCACCTCTGTTGCAGACAAGTCGTTAAAAATAGGATTGTGATGTTTTATACCTGACAAAAGCAATAGATGTTTGATCTGAAGTGAAACTGTATGGTGTTATATTTGTACAAATATGTATATTCATTGCAGCTTCTTAACATGTTCCATGTTATAGTGAAACCTAGAGTGTCCAGGCCTGGAGACCAGCAAGGACATGATAAACCCATAGAGATCTCAGTAATTGCAGGGGAAGATGTCACACTTCCATGTGAAGTGAAGAGCCTCCCACCCCCCATAATTACTTGGGCCAAAGAAATGCAGCTCATATCTCCGTTCTCTCCAAGGTAACAATGTTTGGTGAAAACAAAAGAAAAGTGAAATTGCCTCTAAGCTTTCAAGATGTTGGAGGGGTGTGTGATTTCTGATTGCCACAGGATCACCCAGAAGGTATTACACTGTCCTGCCTGACAACCTGTTGTGCTTTCCCAAGGATACTAAGCTCACCCATCATTGTCCAGCTCCCATTCCAGCACGTGCTTGTACACCATCTCAGGAGGCCAGGATGAAAGAGATCTTGCTGTATTTGTGCTGTGGTGGTGCCCATATCATCTGGGCCTGATTATAAATGTTGAAAAATTGGTTTTCTTTGCTTATGCACTTCACATTTATGCTCAGGGGAGCACTGTCTGGGATTTATATGGATTCTGGGCTGCCAGTAAGATAGAGATGATGATAAATGTTTGGGCATGCTTACAAGAGCCTGTTGCTTGCTGTGTTTTGATCCAAAAACTCTACAGATATTCTTGAACGTGTGAAAGCATAGCCGAATGCTTATAAAATGTTGGGTTGACAGCATTAGAGGATGGAGAGCTGGGGACTGTCTTGTGTGCAGCATGGAGAGGAGATCAGTGGGTGATTATTCTCTGGGTGTTCCCCACTGAAGTGCCAGGTACTGTCCCAGGCCATGCTGCTGCTCTCTGGTCTGCAGAAAGGTTAGGCAGCCCCAGGCAATTGTAGGACTGGCCACACACACTGTAGCAGTGGCTGTGCCTGTTGGTGTCTCTCAGTGACCCCAGTGGAAGCAATCAGCAGTGTCTGAGCTGAAGGAACTGTACAGAGCTGGAGGGGAACCTCTTTTTTTTTCTTTGGAGTCATTCCAGTGAGCATGCAACAACCTCAGTTTTGGCCACCTTATCCAGTGAAGGAGACCTGTGTGTAGGGAGTTGGTTTGTTGTTAGTAATCCATGTGGAATTTTCTGCTGTGTCCTGTGAGCATGTTGCATGCACTAACAGATCTGCATTCTTGGTCCCTTACTTTGTCCTCACTTTACCTCAGGAGACACTGATAAATTAGGCTCCTTGCTCATGGCTGGTGTGGTGAGATCCAAGCTGTCCACAGGAACAGAAGTCCAGCTCAGCCCATTCCATAAAATTGTTTACAGATGTCAGCAAAAGTTAAAGATTAGTCCAAACAAAACTGAGACCACCCAAAGATCACGTCAGAAATGTATACAGTAAATGAAGGAAGAGGGAACTCAGAAAGGAAGGAACTTTTATCAGAGAGCAAATGTAATTACTGGACAAATTCATGGCAGGGAAGTTGCCACAGCAATCTGTCTTTTGGGGTTATTGAAAATAAAGGAAAACAACAAAAATGTTTGGAAAGTTATGGGCAGCAGGAAGGGAATGGTAATATCAGACAGATTTGGGTGGCCTGGAGGAAATCCACTTCACTTTCCTCTGGGCAGTTGCAATCCCCAATTTCACTGTGTGTGTCCATATGGTGATGTTGTCCTAATCAGTGCCAGAGAAAGGCAGACATGGTGCCACCAGTTCCCATCAGCTCTGCCTAAATTCTGTGTGTATCCTTGAGCACTGGGCTTGAATTTCTTCTTAGAATCATGGACTGTCCTGAGCTGGAAGGGACCCACAGGGATCATCAGCCCAACTCCTGCCCTGCACAGACACCCCAACACTGCACCCTGTGCTGAGAGCATTGGCCAAACACTCCTGAGCTCTGTCACCTTGGGGCTGTGACACTGCCCTGGGAGCTGTTCAGTGCCCAAACACCTCTGGGGGAAGAACCTTGTCCTGATATCCAACCTAACCCTGTTCAGTGCCCAAACACCTCTGGGGGAAGAACCTTGTCCTGATATCCAACCTAACCCTTCCTGACACAACTTCTTGTCAATTCTTAGCTGTCTTTTTTTCTTCCCTCCTCACTTATTTTCCCCCTCTCTACTACTGACTCCTGCAGAAGAAGATTTTGGCTTAGCTGACTCATGTAGCTTCTGATGTTTCAGACCTCTGACCAGAACTGTAGGAAAAATTAATGCTCTGTAGTTAACTACTTACTGAGGGATAATGTCAGTTCCTATAAACACCAGAAGTAGCAGTTTTGAATCAGAATCCTCTCTTCCATCTTCAGTCAATGCAGCATCATTTTTTTGCCAGGATGAAGCAGCATTAAGTTATTTAACTTTCTGACCCTGCTGACCTGGGCTGAGCAAAGATTTTCAAGCCCCATTTCTCTGCCTCTATCACATTTTGATAGGCCTTGTAAATAGCTTGTATCAAATGTTGTAATTTGGAACTCAGCTTTTAGGCATTTGCTGTGTGTTCTGAATGGAGTGGCTCAGTAAAGAGGAAATATGAGGAAATATAAGGCACAGTTGAATAATGTGGCACAGAATGGTGTTGTTTCAGCTCAGAGCAATCATTAGCAGTGTGTAAGTAGAGGTCATTCCCCTTTCCATACATGTTTATATAGTTTATCTGCTTCTTATTTTTCCAGACACACTTTCCTACCCTCAGGGTCAATGAAGATCAGTGAGACCCAAGTTTCAGACAGTGGAATGTATATCTGTGTCGCCACAAATATCGCTGGGAATGTGACTCAGTCAGTGAAACTGAGTGTGCATGGTAAGTTGGAACTTAAAGGTTAATCATCTGCAAGTTTCCACATGGAATTTGTCATCATGCAAAGCTTTTGAAATGGTTTGCCTTATGTATGTTAAATCCTATTGACCTCTATTCTTTCAGGTCATGTTATCTTCATATGCAGGTTATTGATTACGTGGAAAGGAAATACTGTATACACACATAAATATATATATATTTGTCCTTCCTTTAGTGTTCCTTAGACTTATGGAAGCATTATAGCACAGTGTGGCACTTGACTTACTGAAAGCCAACCAAAGGGATTGTAGGAGCAGCAAACATTTGCTCTAATGCCCTTGGAAGCTCTTAGTGGAAGAGGCTTCTCAGTAGTCAGTTTGCAGACAGTGGCTCAGAACAGCAGAGCTGGCTGAGGCTGAGGCTTGCAGCTTCCCACCAAATGGGTGGGAATTACATATCCACACTTTTTTGCTGGCAAACATCAAAGTTTGTGGGCACACCTGCCCAGGAGGTGGTGAAACCAGCCTGCAGCTGTGGGGAGGCAGCTCCCTCTCCTTGGTGCATAGCTTTGTGAATACATTCTGCTGTACCCACCTTGGAATCACAGAAGCACTAAGGTTGGAAAAGACATCAAAGGATCCAACCTTTGACCCATCACAGCCATGCCCACTAAAATCATATGAAGTCTCTTTGACTTTTGAACACTTCTAGGCATGGTGTCTCCATCACTGGCCTGGGCAGCCCCTTCCAATGCTTGACCACTCTCTCAGGGAAGAACTTTTTCCTAGTATCTAGTCTAAACCTCCCTTGCCTCAGCTTGAAGCTGTTTCCCCTTGTCCTGTTGCTAGTTACCTGGGAGAGACTGACCCCACCTCACCACAACCTCTGTTTGGGTAGTTGTAGAGATACCTTAATCCACCTTCCTGTGCTTCCTGTGCTCAACCCATGCACCCTATGCTCCTGCCCACCTCCCTCTCCCCTCAGCAAATGTCTAGTGGCTCTTGCTCAAGCTGGGAGCCATGTCCCCCTCCTTTCTGCTGCAGATCAGCCCATTGTCACCCCCATCTCCCTCCCCAGACTGGGGCCCCAAGCTCCTTCTCTTAACCACTCACACAATATCACATCTGGAAAAATGCCACTTGTTATTGTTTCAGACATTCTTTTCAAGTCTTTTTATTGCCAGTGATCCTTAGAAAGAAAAACATTGTGGCAAAAGACTTATAGTGGATTTATATTATTCTTTAGGACTGGCAAAATCTCTTCCAGTCGTGTTTTATCTCCCTGTCCGAACTTGTGTTTGAAAGTATACAAAGATCAGGGATTAGGGGAAGGAAATTAAAATGTCAAAAGGAAAATGTGATTATCATATAAGTTTTTTGAATTGTTTTGTGTTATGAAGACCCAGAACCCACAGCTCTTCAGGTGTGCTTAGAATATTACAGTGCTCAGAATATTACACTACACAATTCCAGTGCAGCAGCATTGGGAATGTGACTTCTTCCTATGAATTAAGTACCAGGGTATCTTACATCTGTTCTGTGCAGAGAACATGCAGGTCTGCTTGCATGGTCACCTGAGGGAGTTAGGTGAATAAAGAACAACATTTTATAGCATAACAAAAAGAAAAAGGATTTAGTAGGTTCATAGAATGGTTTGGGTTGGAAGGGACTTTTAAGATCACCCAGTCCAACCCCGTGCCAGGCTGCTCCATGCCCTGTCCAGCCTGGCCTGGAACACTTCCAGGGTGGGGGCAATCACAGCTGCTCTGGGCACCCTGTGCCAGTGCCTCAGCATCTCACAGGGAACAATTTCTCCCATATATGTAGTCTGAATCTCCTCAATTTTCGTTGAAAATATTTAGGCTTTGTCCTGTCCCTCAATCCCTTGTCCCAAGTTCCTCTGCAGCTCTCTTGGAGCCCTAAGGTCCCCCTGGAGCCTTCTGTCCTCCAGGCTGACCAGCCCCAACCCTCTCAGATCTTGTATAGATTTTCTTCCCATTTCTGTGGACTAAACTTGCCTTCCTCAGTTCCTCCCAAGATCCAGCGTGGACCTCGAGTGCTGAAGGTCCAGGCTGGGCAGCGAGCGGAGTTGCCCTGCAGTGCCCAGGGCATCCCTGCCCCGTCAGTCTCCTGGTTCAAAGGCAGGAGTGCTGTGCCCATAGGTGGTGGGCAGTTCTCCCAGGGCCTGGATGGAGCTCTCAGCATCAGCAGTGTGCAGCTCCCTGACGCTGGGGTCTACAAGTGTGTGGCTCGGAACGCCGCGGGCAGCGACGCCGCGGAGATAACAGTGCAAGTGCAAGGTATTTCTGTTGGGCCCAGGGTCTGCATCCTGCCCTGCCTGGGTGTGATTTCATGCAGTGCTGTCTGCATGGTGCTCTTTGCTGCTGACTGTTCTGCCATGCACGGTCCACATCTGGTTTAGATGTTATGTTCTGATGTTAATTAAGGAAAATCAGAATAAGCAAATAGTCTTTGGAGAGTTTGGAGAAATAAGACAAAGAAAACTCTCTCTGTCATATAAATGGTGGTGGGGGAACTGTGGTCAAGGTGCCAGTTTAAATATGCAGTGTAACCCCTCACCTGAAGGGCTGACAGGCATCAATGGAGCATGACTGACTGAAGCTAAGCAGGGACTGTTTCTTCTTTGTAATAGTCTAAAGGCAACATTCTGATCCCTTTGGATTAGAGGTGCTGAGAAACGCTTGTTACAGACTACAAAGAACTCTCAGTAACTTTACTTAATGCTAAATAACATTCTTTGTATAGTCTGTCTGCACATGAGGTTAAAACGAGAGCAAAGGGTGGCAGAAACACTTATATGTAGCATGAGGAAAACCCCCAGTTTAAATAGGATTTTTCAGACTGCAGAAACACTGCCTTCAGAATAAATAGAAGGGGTTTTAAAGAGAACCATTTTCAGTCACGTTTGAAAGCTTCTTTGTACTGCTTCCTCCCTAAATATTCCCACTGAAATCAAGACTTGCTTGTACAATACACATCCCATTCACTGTGAACAGAGTTGTTGGAGTCTGACCGTGTGTGGATGAGAGAGATTTACTCTTGTGTGTTGCCAAACTATATTTTAACATTTGGGATCAAAGGTAAAGAATTTTTTTTTTTTTTGGATCTAATTTTCTTTCAGAGTCTCCCACAATTGAGGGCCTGGACCCTCCATACAACAGTCCCTTCCAAGAAAGAGTGGCAAACCAGCGCATCGCGTTCCCCTGTCCTGCCAAAGGTCTGTACCACTGTTCCACTTCCAGTGACAAAAGTATCTTTTTCTTCTGTTGACCCTTGAAAATGACTAAGTTCCTGTAAAAATTGTCCAATCCACAGAGTATTTTCCATATATACTTTATTTGGAAAAACTCAAGCTGACGGTGGTTGAAATAACCACCACGTGTGGAAGTTTTGGGGAAAGTCACTGCTTAGCCAGCAGGGATTTTATAAGGTTCAAGATTTTGAATGTTAAAATCATCCTGTAACAGCTTCCTCTTGGAAGCTCATGGCTCTCCCTTGTGTTGTCCTTCCAGTAAGACTTCCAGCAAGCGGCAGGAATTGTTGAAGTCTTTCCTAATCTGAGCTGAGTGAAGCATTTCTGGACGTTTCTCCTTTTCCTTGTCAGGTACTCCGAAGCCTGTCATCAAGTGGCTGCACAATGGCAGAGAGCTGACAGGCAGTGAGCCAGGGGTCTCAGTGCTGGAGGATGGGACACTGCTGGTCATCGCTGCTGTCACACCTGCAGACAATGGGGAGTATGTCTGTGTGGCAACCAACGAGGCTGGGAGCACAGAAAGGAAGTACAACCTGAAAGTTCATGGTGGGTAATAAATGCAGCCATTGGGGGACCTACTTTTGAAGGGTATCTTCTATTTTATTGGTGGAAATTGCATTCCTCAGATCTGGCCATGTGCTGTTGAATTACCTGAGTACTTGGGTTTGTGTTATTCTGATACTCTCTATGCTTTTTTCTATTGTTTCTGTCCTTCCTGAGTTTATGCACAAATAATCTTTCCTTATCCTCCATCCCATGAGATCCCAGAGGCAAAGGAGGGTGGAGGGTCCCTCCCTGCCCCACCACAGGGACCCTCACCCTGCTCAGCTCCCCCTGCAGTGTTCACCCCTCCCACAGCCACATAGACATGAGGTCCAGTGTCTCCCAACCCCTTCTAGAGCTCCCCAAACTCCAACAGAGCCTCTTCACCCCTTCCAAACTCTCCTCCATGCCCTGGGGGGCACTGCCCTGTTTTGGGGGTCTCTGTCCCCCCTCAACTTGCTGCATGATCTCCATACCACCTTGCCCAAGTGCTTCCTGGCAGCAATGAGCCCTTTGTGGCCTCCTCTGGATTTGCTCCAACAGTTCCATGTCCTCCTGATGCTGAGGACCCCAGAGCTGTGTGCAGGATTCCAGGTGGGTCTCCCAGAGCAGAGCAGAGGGGCAGAATCCCCTCCCTTGCCCTGCTGCCCACACTGCTGTGGCTCAGCCTTGCATTGCATTGGTCTCTGGGCTGAGCTCACACTGCAGCTCATGCTGAGCTTCTCACCCACTCTCACTCCCAAGTCTCTCTCCTCACCTCTCAATTCCTTCCCCACCCAACCTGGGGCTGTGATGGCATTGCCATGGCCCAGATGTAGGACCTTGCACTTCATTTTGTTAAACTCCATGAGGTTTGCATTGTTCCCCCTTTCAAGCCTATCAACCATGATGGTTAGTTCTGATGCCTGAGCAGGATTATATCCTGATCTTTATTCTGAGAAAAGCAAGAATTCCATCTTGTTCCAGCAGGGCTCATCAGTGGGGTTAGAACTCTCCAATCCCATCCATAAGGCCATTCTGTTTGCATTCACAGTGTGACAAATGATAGGCAGGTGTTGTTGGGCATGACTGGAGCAGTGAAGAGGAAGGATGAGTCTGGAATGTGCTTCCTTTGCTAAACAATTGTTGCTAAGAGAATAGCATGAAATTTTAAGATTAAGATTAAATAAAATGAAGATTCAGTATTAAGATTTTTCTCTTAAAAGATGTTGATGGTTATTGTGTTTGAGTGAATTTCCCTGAGAGTCTGTTACTGGGCAAGAAATGACTTGATGTTTTTAGGAAGAGAAGACACAGGGAGGTATGTCCAGAGCCAAATGAAAATACTGAGGAGGGAATGAGAAGGGTGTGAGAAATTGGGGAAGGAAGGGGGAAATGGGAAGTCACTGGAATGAAAGGCTTAAATCATGACTCTGAGGAAGGGGGAAATGGGAAGTCACTGGAATAAAAGGCTTAAATCATTACTCTGACCTCTCTTGTAGTTCCTCCTGACATTAGAGACCAAGAAAAGGTGACAAATACATCTGTGGTGGTTCATCACCCTGTCAGTCTCTTCTGTGAAGTAACTGGTAACCCCTTCCCAGTCATCTCCTGGTATAAAGAAGATACCCAGGTATGTAGGATCAATCCAGCTGGAATAATGAAGGCAGCATCAGTCAGTTTTATATGAACTTGTGAGTGCTTGGTGTGAGAACTCGCTGCAGTAAGTACGTGTCTGTGCCTTTGTGTGTGTTTAAGTGCAGTAAGGACACCCCACAGAAAACCAAATAGATGTGGCTCATCCATTAGTGCAGTAAGGCAAATGTAAACTCTTCAAGGTTCCCTTAGGAATTAGCCTTAGCAATCTCCCAGTATGGCAATTGCCAGAGGCCTTGAATGGGGACCAGTAAACGAAGAAATAAGAACACTTGGAGGTAATTTGAGTTGGTCAGGGTTATCCCTGAGTCCTCTGGCTCCACTTGTAGCTGATAAGTGATATTTAAGGCGAGGAGAGAGCCCTTTATGCACTTTGTGGCTGCCCATTGCTGAGGGATGAAGACTTTCTTTGGTTTCCCCACTCCCTGCTGTGTGTGCTGAGCTACAGGCCATATTGAATAGATTGCAGCAGTGGAGGAGATTAGTGCTGCAACTGAAAGGGGAAACAGATTATCCTCACGCTAAAACTACCATTTTCTTATAAAAATCCAGCTGTGATATTTGGCTGATGTAACTTGGTTCACATAAGGTCTTGGGTTCTTTTCAGGTTGTGGAAAGCAGTGCTCTCCAGATTTTGCACAATGGGAAGATCCTGAAGCTCCTGAAAGCTGCTACTGAGGATGCTGGACAATACTCCTGCAAAGCCATAAATGTAGCAGGAAGTTCTGAGAAGCTGTTTAACCTAGATATACTAGGTTAGTTCATTCTTTGATGTTTGTTTGGTTTGGTTTTTTTTTTAAAGTTGGTGATCTGGAAGACAGTTGATATTTAAGAAGTCCATAAATTTCAACTCATTATGAATATTTTTGCACTCCCTGCCCATGAAGCACTCATCATGATGGCTTTTGGGTGCCTAAAATTCACCGTTCTGGTAGCAACACAGGCAAAATGCTGCTTTTTATTTCTGGGTTTTGGTCTTTGGTGCTTTGTTTTGTATGTTGGGTACACAGCAGTGTGACATAGGAGTGTTCTTACGTAGAGTTTGCCACCTTGAATGTGAAATGCTTGTCGAGGTAGACATGATGTTTTGATCTAGCTGAATTCCCTTTGCAATGGAGCTAAAGTTGTTTCAAGGGAATCATATGATCCACTGCTGCACATCTTTCTGTTTCATAGCATACCTTCCTTGGCTAAACACCAGTTCTTCCTGAATGTTTGTCTTTTTGAAGTTCCACCCAGCATAATAGGTGCTGAGAGCCCTGGTGAGATTACAGTCGTCCTCAACCAGGAAATCAGTCTGGAATGCAGAGCCAAAGGTTTCCCTTTCCCTGACGTTCACTGGTTCAAAGATGGCAAGTAAGTGTCTTACAGCTTTTGTGTTGTGTGTGCAGGTTGTTCCTCCCCTAGAACACAGAGGGAGGAGGTGCACTGTGCCTGCAAGCTTGGGTTGAACTACTTAGTGTTAAGTTATGGTCACTAGACAGAATTTGGGGTGCTGTGAGGTAGTAAGTTCTTTAATCAAAAGTTAACATCTGCATGTCTTTGTGAATTCCCATTACTGGCAAGAGCAGAGCAGTTCGAAGGTTTTTGAAATCAGACAATGCTTGAAGCAGGTGAAGCAGAACCATTTCTTTGAGTTTACCCTCTGTGAGTTATTCTGCCTGGATTATTCCAAACATATAAATGGTTAAAATACTGTTGTTTAGCTGACATGGTGTTTTGATTGATAGGCAGAACCTGTGTCAAACATTTTGCTAGTTAGTGCCTTGTGAGGTTCTGCATATACACACCGAAGGGTAGGAAACATTTGTAGACTGAATGTTTCAGTTCTTCTCATCTTCCAGGAAAGCATAGCAAGAAAAGAATTGCTGGTGGCCTAAATATTAGCTGAAAACCAGACTGGGCTGTGTTTCTGGTGTTTGACAATGTAGTTCAGTATAGACATTAGTTAGTAGTCACAGATATTTTGCTGTGCCAATTTCTTACGCTTTGGTATGGATATGTTGACATTTTCATCTAGTAACTGACACTTTGTTGTCAGCAAAGGGCTGGAATGGTCCAAGTAAATTAGCAACCTGACCTGAGGCCAGGAGTAGGACTCTGGCTCTGATGCTGGCATTGGGGATGACCTGAGTAAAGTACTTGTCGTGTTTTGGTTTCTTCTAACACCTAGGAATAAAGTTAATTGCGATAGTTTGTTACTTTGTGGTGCTTCTTTGGGTTAATGCTGTTACTCCAGTGCCAAATGGTCCAATTACTGCCATTAAAGGATCCCTTTTTCTTACTGTCAGCATAAGCTAACATTGAAGGGATGGGGTTGGGTGAAGCAAACTAATCTCTGTTTCAGGCCCTTGTTTTTGGGTGATCCCAATGTTGAGCTTCTGGACAAAGGTCAAGTTCTCCACATCAAGAATGCTCGAAGGGTTGACAAAGGTCGTTACCAGTGCAGTGCCACCAACACTGCTGGCAAGCAAGTTAAGGAGGTCAAGCTGATTGTCCATGGTGAGTTAACAAGACTGCCTGGACCTAAAGATCCTTTATTGTACTCATGAGATCTCTTTTTGATGGAGATACTCAGCCACTCTTGCACTGGGAACAAGGGAAATGCTGGGAGGACTTGCAGGAGACTGTGGCTGTTGTGAGAGGAGAGGAATGAAAAGCCCCACAAAATCCTCACAGATGAGTAGATTTACTTCAGGTTCTTCAGGCAGGAGAGATGAATTTGTGAGGTTTAATTTCTTGTTAGTCCTAGCTAGGCAAACAAAACCCACAGAGGAACCTAGGTGCTAGTTCATGCTAGTTCTTGCTTTGTTTCAGCCATTTAGCCCTACTTTTGACTTTGATACGTTACCAAAACTCCATGTTAGAACCGTTCCCCATCTCTGTGGATGAAAGCATTTGCTGATAGAGAAATGCATTTGCCTTTGATCTGGGTGTGTTTCAGTGCATTTTATGGGCTTGATTTAATGAGTAAAATATTTCATTGTGGTTTGATAATCTGCACGACTCATCTCAAGGTGTAGGTCCAGTCACTGTCCCTTTGCTTTGCCTTTCTGCAGTGGTGTTTTCAATGACCACTGTGGAAGTCAATGGAATCCGTGGGTGTACTGAGCATGTTTGGCAGCAGAGGAGTTAATGTGTCTGCCAGATGTGTCTGGTCCTTTCAGCAGTCATAAATTTAGTGGTTGCCAATTGCACTGTGTTTTTATTACTTCTATAGAGATTTACGGACTCTTTATATTGGCTGATTTACACGAGAGCTTGTTTGCTGGAAGAACCCGAGTCCTGCTGCCTAGCGAGCAAGGGAAGGGACTGTGGGCCAAAAAGCTTCAAAAATAGGAGCATAAAGCTAGACTGTTAAGCTCATATTTAGTCTCAAAGTAAGTGACTTCATCCTCAGAAGTTTGGAGTGCTGAGCAGTTCCCACTGCAGTTTTAGAGGCTCTTGGATGTAATTGGTATTGTCAAGAGCAGGATCCTTACTGGGAGGATGCAGCTCCCAGGGGAGACAGGAATTGCTTGGAGAAGAGGGTTGGCCAAATGTGTTGCAGGATGCATGGAGACCCAATTGTCCTAAGCTGGTACATGTTGGAGCCTGGTGGCTCTTCATGCTTTCAACCCCATGTGCCTCAGAGAAGTCTACAGGTGGTGTCTAACTCTGTGGGGGGAAAAAAACACACAAAACACAGCAGGAAGGTTCAGTTTTTAGGCATAAAATGGCAAGATGGACGTCGTCAGATCCCAATGGATGTTGTCAATAAGATAACAGCGATGTCTCCGCCCACCAACAAGAAGGAAACACAAGCTTTTTTAGGTGTTGTGGGATTTTGGAGGATGCACATTCCAAATTACAGTCAGATTATCAACCCACTCTACCAAGTGGTATGCCACAATTGATATTGCCAATGCATTCTTCTCAATCCCTTTGGCAGCAGGGTGTAGACCCCAGTTTGCTTTTACTTTACGAAGCCAAAATCTTTTCTTCCTTCGGCATTCTCATGTTTAATCCATTTAAATCTGCACAGACTTGTATACTGAGGCTTTAACATTGCCATTTTGTCTTTCGAAATAGTCCCTCCTAGTATTAAGGGAGGAAATCTGACCACAGAGGTGTCGGCGCTTCTCAACAACCTTATAAACCTGGAGTGTGAGGCCAAGGGAATCCCTGTGCCCACCATCACCTGGTTCAAGGATGGGCACCCTGTCTCCTCCAGCCCCCAGGCTGTGTACGTGGAGCGGGGGCAGTTCCTGCGGATCCCGCGGGCGCAGGCGTCGGACTCTGCCAGGTACACGTGCCGTGTGAGCAGTGCTGCTGGGGCTGCTGAGAAGGTGTACGACGTGGATGTGTACGGTGAGTGATGCTCTGCCGAACCGGCTCCTTGGCTGTGCTACGCAGGTGCATTTGGGAAGCTCCTCTGCCTTTGTAGCCTGTCAGTGGCTGTGGTTGAAGCCTGGCCTCTGTCAGAGGGCTGTGTGCAGGGAGCTTCACACCTTGTCCTTTGTGTGACTCTCCAAGCTCTTTGCTTCAGAGAATCACTGAATGGTTTGTGTTGGGAGGGACCTTAAAGATCGTCTTGTTCTGTTCTATCACTACATGCCCTTGTCCAAAGTCCCTTCACCACCCTTGGTGTCATGCTTTTTCCTGTTCAGCTATTTCTTTTCCATCTCCCATCTGCATGCTGAAAAATTCTTACCTGAAGTGGCCACACTGGATGGGATCTTCAGAACACCATTTCAATCCTTCCTGTTTGGTCCTTCCCTCTCAAAGCCCTGCAGAATCCTCTGTTTCACTACATGCCCTTGTCCAAAGTCCCTTCACCACCCTTGGTGTCATGCTTTTTCCTGTTCAGCTATTTCTTTTCCATCTCCCATCTGCATGCTGAAAAATTCTTACCTGAAGTGGCCACACTGGATGGGATCTTCAGAACACCATTTCAATCCTTCCTGTTTGGTCCTTCCCTCTCAAAGCCCTGCAGAATCCTCTGTTTTATACCACTGGTCATTTCTGAATTATGTCACTTGACTTCTCTGTTTCCCCTTTGCCTTGGCTTCTCCCAGCAGCAAATTCTCACATGCAATTGTGCATGACATAATGGCATATGGAGCTGAAGTGGGAGGGGAAGAACTAATCCATTTGCTCTTAATCCATTTCCTGGCTACAGAATTAATTGCTTGCAATATATTTCTTTTCCTTTCTCCAGTTCCTCCAGTAATCGAGGGCGACGCTGACACAGCCCAGAGCAGGCAGGTGGTTGCTGGGAATTCACTGACCTTGGAGTGTAAGGCTGCTGGCAACCCTCCCCCTCTCCTCACCTGGCTGAAAGATGGGGTTCCTGTGGAAGCAAGTGACAGGCTTCGTGTTCTGGCTGGTGGGAAGAAGCTGGAGATCCTGAACGTTGTCGAGGCTGACCGAGGCCAGTATTGGTGTGTGGCCACAAGCATAGCTGGAGAACAAGAAATCAAGTATGAAGTTGAAATCTTAGGTGTGTGAGCAGCAAAACTGCTGATTTGTCAGTTTCCTGTAAACCTAATATGGAAAAAAATATCCATCATATCTATGTTTGTATTTTTGTTGGTGTCACTATATGAAAGATCAGTTAGTCATGCTCCATAATTAGTTCAGCCTGGGCACTGCACATTTTTCTGCCCAGGGTTACAGGGCAGTTTGACTTTCAGGTTAGTTGTTCAGAAGTTTTTGTGCATGTGGTAAGTAAATAGAAGAAAACAATAGATATCCAAGGCTATCATTAAAAATATCACTGGGTATTGGCCTCTGGGAGAGGACATTTTCCTCTGGTTTTCAGTTGTGTTGTGCAAGTTTTGAACCTTCTCTTGAAAAAAATACTTGTCTCCTTTATCCCTGGAGTCTGTTACCACAGTGTGCACCTCAGCAGTCCCTTCTGAGTGCCTCGAGGTAAATCAGTTGTACAAACATGTGAATCACTTTCTCCTGACGTGGAAGGTGTTATTTAAGAACTGTAAAGCACTGATTTTTAGGCTTTGAATTGCTCTCTTGAAGAACATAATACTGAGTGCAGATGTGGAGCATCTGCTCTGCTGTTACAGGTACATCTCACTGGTCTGGCTAGTCAGTGGAGGAGCTGTGTGGCTCTGCTTCCTTCCCAGAGAGGATGAGACAGGGTGAAGGGTGCCTGGAAGAGGGTCCTCTGCACCTTTGTGCTCTCCTTCTGCTGACAGAGGGTGCCAAAAGTGCCCCCACCCTCAGCCATTCCCAAGGTTGTTCTGACAGAATCTGGAAAAACCAACCGAGCTGTATACACAATATATACAATATACACAATATCACTGTGCAGATGTTTCCCTTCAAAAAGAAGCAGTGATTGATAAGGAATCAGTGTGTCCCCCAAAGTGAGATAGATGTCAAGATTATTTGGTTTGTAGCATTGCTATTTGAGAGAGGTTTTTATGATATATCTGATGCTTACATGTTGCTCTTGGTGGATTTGTTTTTGTTTTCCCCTCTTACAGTCCCACCCTTCGTGGATGGTGGAGATGAGCTCTTGGACTACATTGTGGTTCTCCATAGCCCTTTGGAGCTGGATTGCTCAGCAGCAGGGACACCCTCACCAACTATCACGTAAGGGGACTAGTGTGACAGTAGGAAAAGAGTAAATCAATCTGCTGGTTGGTTAGGTGAGAGTGCAGATGACCTTTAGCAACCACCTGTATTATTCAGTGATGGTTAATGAGCAGAGGACAAACTCCTGACCCCACTGAAGGATATTATTCAGGTTAATGAGCAGAGGACAAACTCCTGGCCCCATTGAAGACAGCATCAGGCACTCACGTGGTAGCATCAGAATTTTGGTTTAGGGCAGTTTGGGTTGTTGTGCCAATGTCCATTTCCTGGAGATTAGGATAGATAGCAAGAGCAGACAAAACTTGCATTCCCTTGCTAACGCAGCTGTGTACTTTTCTTCTGCCACTTGTGGTTAATGAGCAGAGGACAAACTCCTGGCCCCATTGAAGACAGCATCAGGCACTCACGTGGTAGCATCAGAATTTTGGTTTAGGGCAGTTTGGGTTGTTGTGCCAATGTCCATTTCCTGGAGATTAGGATAGATAGCAAGAGCAGACAAAACTTGCATTCCCTTGCTAACGCAGCTGTGTACTTTTCTTCTGCCACTTGTGGTTGACTTTTGCTTTGGGGTTTTCTGTCTGCTACATTCTTGATGTCTTCCTTAGGGCCTGTTACCTGTTCTGATAAACCACTTTGGTCCATGGCACTCAGGACAGTGGAGCACTACCTGACATCTCCAAACTTCCCTAGAAATGCAAACAGACTTACTGAGACATCCTGTTTAATAGAGTTGTGCCTGTTCTAGGTGTGTTGTTGATCTTAATGTCATAGAAGATCTGAGATTTGAACTCTGTCTTTGGCAGGTGGTTGAAAGATGGCCAACCAGTTGAAGAGGGAGCTGGACACAAGATCTTATTGAATGGACAAAAGCTCCTCATCTCTCAAGCTCTAGTGTCAGACACTGGTCACTATAAATGTGTGGCAGCAAACAAGGCAGGAGAACATGGGAAGGAATTTGATGTCACAGTGCATGGTAGGTTATTCAAGGCAAGGGACACAGCAGGCTACTTTCATTATGAAATTGCTGGCAAGAAGGTGCTCAGTTTTCCTGTAGACATTTGTATTAGCACGTTGAAAAATTGGAGATGAGAGCAGAAGAAAGAGAGTCACAATGGTTTAGGTTGGGAGGAACCTTAAAGCTCATCTCATTCCAACCCCCTGCCATGGGCAGAGACACCTCCCATTAGACCAGGCTGTCCTAATCTAGAAGTAGTAGAGTTGCACTTAACCTATGGGATGTTGCCTCTACATCTCCAAATGTATATGTCCTAATGATACTTCATTTTTTTTTCTGGTGCTTCTTGCAGTTCCTCCAACCATCAAGTCAACTGGGCCTTCTGAGAGAGCTGTTGTGATCCACAAGCCTGTGATGCTGCAGTGCATAGCCAGTGGCATTCCCAGCCCTTCCATAACCTGGTTAAAAGATGGACAACCAGTAAATACAGCCAGAGGAAATATCAGAGTAAGCACAAATCTGTTACGGGTTCCAAACCATCAAAGATAGTTACAAGGAATTTTGCATGTTAGTGCTGCTTTTCCTTTTGCTTCCCTAACACTGTGATTGATATCAAGATGCTAAAATTCCATCCTGGAGAGAAAAGAGCTTTTTACCTGACTAGGGCTGTATCTCGGGTGAAATAGCAGTGTTTAGTAGACTGAATCCCCCGAGACATCTCATATGAGAAGATTCCATGACTGGAAATTCACCATCTGGCTCCTTCCAGTAGAATTTTAACCTTCAAGGTATGGTTCTGTCTCTGTTTTGGTGCAGCTGGAGTCTTCAGGCCGTGTTCTGCAGGTTGGCCAGGCCCTGCTGGAAGATGCTGGCCAGTACACTTGTGTGGCAACAAATGCTGCAGGAGAAGCCCAACAGCACGTTCGGCTTCACGTGCATGGTAATGTCTCTGCCTCTAGTTACAGCTAAATGTGGCTGGTTTAGGCAGCTTTTTACTTCTGCATTCCCTTTTCTCCTGCTTTTTTGTTGTCTCTGTACATCCATCTTCCAGGTTTTCTTCTTTGTCCCACTCCATTGGTAAGAAGTGAGGGCAAAGCTGTCTGTCTTGGGATTTGGCCTCTCCGGTGTGGTACCAAGGACCACAGAAATGAATGTCTTTCCCAGAGGTGTCCTAAACAGCCAAACTCCTTGGCACTAGCTCATCCCTCAGAGTTACCCTTCTGTGCTTCTGAATCAGTCTATGATGTACCACCATTGGCAATTATGAATCTCATCCAAATTTTCTGTGGATGTTGGTATTCCACGTGACCCTGCAGTGGGAAATTTTTACAGGAATGACTTGTCTGAGAAAGAAACATTCTCTTGTGAGGGGATTTTTCAGCCTGTCGAAAAGGCATTTTCCTCTGCAGCTAAAAAGAGTATAAAAGGAATTGAGGAAACTTGAGAAGCTGTTGTTTGCATGTGAATTTCGTAAGTGTTCTCCCCGTGATTTACGTGTGTTTGGCTCAGAAGTGGTCACGAAGAGTTGTGGGTTCTTGTTGTGACACAATCCTCAAAGGAGGTGTGGGAATCCTCAGGAGGTGTAGGAATGGACTGTGGCAAAATGCTCAGAGTGGGATTGTACTCACTTCTATTGCCAAAGCAAGCCAGCAACTGGAGAATGTTAAACTGAAACAAGGAGAGTTTGCAGAGTCCCCATGGATGAGACTTGAGGCCACACTCATCTTAAACGATGCTAATTGCATCACAGGTAATTCTAGTGTCAGCCTCATGCTCATAAATCTCTTTTCCTGTCAGTCTTGGTGTTCAAAGTGTCATTATCTGGTGTTTCTGTCACATCATAGATTTCTAAACTTCATTAAGGTGAAAGCTGTGTACAACACTCAGTTTAGCATCACCACTTCAAGTGGGATGAGCTTGCCACAGTAAGGAATTGCTGTTCTGTGTTGTGCACCCTTTTCTTGCAAGTCTAGTTGAAGTCCCATTTTCCTTGAGAAAAGATTAAAATTAACAAAAATAATGTTGTATTCCTCTTATCACTGAGGTGATTCTATAATTAGATAGTATTCCCAT